GATAGATAGGCCACCTTTTTTGTTTGTATCTTATTTTCGCGGCAAAAGGTGCTTTTAGGCGTCGTTTGAGGTGTAGGGAACTTTTTAAAGGTCATTCCGTCCTCCAGGAGGTTCGGACTCCGCGAAAAGTGCCTTCACTGCGTATTGGTTCAATACATTGGAAGCACCTCTGGTGTTCGTCAAGAAGGTGGTGCTCGGCGTCTCGTTGAGTATCCGGGCCACACCCTCAGCTGTTGGCTCGTTGTTGCCCTGGTGGTCTGTTGGGGCTCGGTGGTTCTTCAGGATCTTCTTGAGCTGCTGCTTGGATGGGGCGGCGCTTCTGAGAAGCTGCAGCTTCCATTTTAGTTTCTCGCATTTGCAGCATCGCATCTCGTGCAGCTGCATGATGTGCATCTCCGCCCATCTCTGGCTTTCTCTGGCAGTGGTGCCGTCGACGCCGGTGAGCTGGCAGAAATCGCCCACGAACACCAGGGCGGGTCGACGATCTGCTGCACCCCACAATCTCAGCAATCTTTCGAATTGTTCTGTGGAGAGCTGTCCTACCTCGTCGATCACGACCATGTCATAGATCTTCATCATCTCCAAGGTTTGAACTTCTGGTTTGTGAAAGGCGAACATGCCGTGCGCGGTGTCGATGTCGAGGTCCGGGTGACGTGTCTTGTACTGGGTTGCAAGCATCCCCGTCGGACAGGCCACTCCCACGTGTGCTCCGTGCTGGACGGCCTGCTTCAATGCTGTTTCTACCGCCGTGCTCTTGCCGCTTCCTGCAGGTCCCAGCACCACAGAGACGTTGTTCTGGAAGGGATTTCTTCGTGCTAGCCACGTATTCCATGCCTCCAGATCATCTGCATCATCTGGCCATTTGGCTTGCATTGCCTTTTTGACGCGAGCTGTGATGGTCTGTATGATCGTCTGCTGCTCCGCGGCGAGGTTGATGCTTCCGATAGAGGTGGATGCTGTACCATACAGGGCTGGATCTGGATGCTCGGTCTTGGTGAGGTCTCCTGATAGATATGCGTCCACCATTTCCGTTCGTGCGGCCAGCATGCTGAGGAAATTCTGTATATCCAGATTACTTCGAGCTTCATGTTCCATGTCGTTAGCTGGATTGGCTTGGTCTCGCCAGAAAGCGGGGCGTTTTAGAAGGCACAGTCCGCGGTGTCGAAGACTCTGCGGCAGAAGTTCTGCATCTGCATGCCACAGTTCGTCTGTGTGTCGAAACGGGACGTTCAGAAGCAACCATTGGCCGAAGTATTTGTCGTTGGATCGAGCGTTTGTGATGGCCGCCACCAGACTTTGCCCGTGGGCAGGCACGTGATTGATCCAGGTTTCCAAAGGGATCTGCACTTTCTGCGCGGCATGTAGTCGTCGGAAACGTTGAGAAATCTGCCCTTGTGCTCCTGTCTTGCGCAGGAATTCGAGCAACGTCATGTTCTCCCTGCGCCAGTTGCAGTCCATGTAGGCACGCACGATTTGCGGCATCTCCCTATCTTGCCACGGCAGAGGCACGATGAACTTTCGAACGAGTCCCGGACACAGAAATTGAGAGTGCTGCTGAGCGGCTAGCTGCATGATCATTTCGGGTTGGAGCGGATGATAATCTGCCAAGATGCGACGTGCCAAGGAGAAGTCGGTCGCGTGGTTGTTGAGCAACTCTTGGGCGAAGGAGCTGCTGAATTTTGGAAGATAGCCTTACGTGCGCAATGGCATTACCGTTCGAACACGATCTTACTGCGTTTGTGAGACCTCACGTAGGACGCTTAGTCTCAGGGAATTGCTGCCTTGCAGATTGTGGCTAGCGAGAGTGACACAGCGCAACATCGCAAGTGCAGATTAGTGGCTGACGCAGTACTTCAGCACCATAGCACGGCCATCGGATGCTAGCACATCGCAGTGACATCTCAGAGCTGCAAGCACATCCGGCAAGTAAGCTCGACAGTTTTGTGCATGGGCTTTCTTCGGATGATACAATTGTATCGTTCCCGACTTGGTCACTTCGGTCGGCTCTTCGCGCACGGGCCAACCACTCATTTGCCAATCCAGTTGCGAACCTTTCACAAGGTCTAGCATCTCTGTATCTGCTTCTTCTGGCAGGTGCGCATGGATTTTGTCCGCGAAGTTCACGTTCTGTACGTCTCGAAGCCAAAGAAGTATGTGTGCGTGCGGCGTTCCCCGGCCGTGGTAGCTGTGGACTCTGCGTTTCCGCATTCCATCTTGAAATTCGAGTCTGGCCACCCAGTACACGACGCTTCCTTGTTCGGGTCCTGCGGCGAAGATTCCTTGCTTAGTGTCCGCCAGCAAGCTTTTCACGGTTTGCGTCAGGACGTGTGCAAGATGCAGCGTCTCCGATACAGGTAAGTAAAGACGCTCTTTGAGGCTCTTCGCAAGCTCATCCTGACGGGGTCCGTTTCCAGGTTGACGGATGTCGAACCTTTCTAACATTATATGTTCAATTATGTTGAGGTCGTTTTGTTCGGTTACAGTTATGGGCCTACGCGACATTACGCGGTCCTCCATCCAGGCGTGATACGGGAAGGACCATTCGTAGGGGGCTATGGTGATGAAGAGACTCGGCCACCCGATTTGTCTTTGGAGGTCGACGAGGGCCGTGTGATAAGTACGCCAGACTTCAGGCGAATAAGGCTTGTTTGCCAGCGCCTCTCTGATGCCCACGCCGGATGCGTTCTTGGCTCCACCGATGGTAGTGAAGAGCCACAGGTCGTACACGAATTGCAACAGCTGTGGATCGGAGTTGTACCCGATGACGGCCGAGTGCACCTTGGCCAGGAAGCTAGCCTTGGCGCTTTGCCTCGTTGCTGCCGGCTGCCACGCTGCATCTTCTTCTCGCATTTCGTCTTCTTCATCTGCATCCATGGTCTGTCGTCGGCGATTCAATCTCCTTGCATCCTGCGATCGCACGTAGGTCTCCGTCATCTTCTTGTTCCAATAAAGATGCGGCCATAGAGCGCATTCCAGCCCTGCGGTCTCGATGAAGTTGGCTGGCATTCTCTTGACCGGGGCATCGGCCCAGATGTCTCCTCTCTCGATTGCACGTTCTCTGTGTCGCAAGAACTTCTGATGCATTCTCCAGAAGTCGACGTAGGATGACGTGTCCGGGGTGCCATCTGAACGCTTTAAGTAGCTCAATGCTTTCTCTCCTCGACGACGTTCCTTTCTTGGCAGACGTGTCAGGGCCTCTTCGACCGAAATTGGCATGAAGGAGAACTGCATCATGTCCGCATGAACGAGGTAGCCGTGGGGTGCACGGAACGGCTTCTTGAAGGTCGGATGAATCTGCAAAGGTCTCAGAGCCTCTATGGTTTGCGCGGACAGTTTTCGCAGTCTTCGAGGTACATCTTCCGGCGTAGGAGCCCAGTACCCCTGTGCGGCATTGGACTTGCAGTGACTGCATGCTTTGATCTGCGGGTCGCCCTTTGCGGTGCCTTTGGCATGGCTTCTGCGGTAGTCCGTCGGCACCATGCGGCTGCACTCCGAGCACATCTGCCACGAATCCCAGAGGCACCACTTTCGAAAGGCCGCGCTTCGGGGCGGCATCCACTCGGACACTTCGCGAGCCTCTTCTGCACACACAGATGGGAACTTTCGCTTCAATCGGTCGTGTTGTCTTTTCTGTATGTCTTGAAGAATGGCTTCGGCTTCGTTGCTTTTTTTGTGCACCTGAGGTTTTCTTGCCTGCAAGACTTCTGCCCAGGAAGCATGCTCCTTCTTCGCCTTCTTCCTGCAGCGCTTGCTTGGACCCAGTTTGCTGACCATCTCTTGTCCGTGCACGTCACGAATGACTTCTTGTGCACGATTGTAAACGAGCACGTCTTTTTTCTTGAGTCTATCGAGTGCTCTTCGTATGGTTTGACCGCTGTGGTCTTTCATTGCTGCTATGAAGGCATCTTTGCTGCAGAAGATGCAACGGTCGAATGCGGTGCCTGTGGTCGAGCATGTATACGGCTTGCCGCGAGTTTTCCTTGCAGACATGCCGAAGGTGCACTCCTCGTTGGCGCACTGCAGCGCTGCGGATTTTCCCGAAGTGAAGTACTGCAGGTCTACCCAATTGACGGCTCCCGTGGGTCTTTCGTAAGGCCTCGGCTGCGCATAGGCTTCTACATCGGTAACCGTCCACGCATAGATGTTCTTGTAGCGCACCAAGCTCAGGTTCTCGATTTGGTGCTTGTCCGGATTCTCCTCGAGTTCCTGTCTGGTGATGAGACGACTTTCCGATATGACCATCTCGCCCACCAACATGCCTGAACCCGATTCTGCTACGCAGATGCGCTCGTTGAGATGTTTGGCGCATTTCTGACCACGAATTTCCCATGTCTTGTTCTCGTGCAAGATTTTGTGGCAATACTCGGGCAGCACCGTGAGAGCATACCGAGGGGCATCCTTTGTGTGTCTCTTTGCAAACGGATTTTCCAGCAATCTGATCTGCTTATCCATCTCCTCCGGCCCGAGTGAGTCGTGGATTTCTTGTATCTTCTGCAAGAACAAGTTTTGGTCTCTCCAAGATAGGTCGAAGAGACCTTCCGTGACTTCTTGCTGTGACCTTATTTGGGTACCTAGTTGAAGCAATCGACGTTAACTGAATGCATGAACGCGTAAATCGAATTTACATTGGTTTGCTTGTTTGTGGAGAAGCCTCCGGTCATGGCTAGCCCGTTTTTTTGTTTTTCGTGTGGAACGATAAAGTGTGTCGCTACTTCTGAGAAAATGCAGGAAATGATGGTAGTATGCATCGTTCTATTTCGAATATTTTTGTGGCTAGACAGTATATGGTGCTACGCATGTCATTGTGTTCGAGTTACGCTTCATAATGGGACATGTTCTATCAACTGTCACACTGACAGAAGATCTAAGCTTCGCGCCATGCGGCGTCTTCGTCCGTGTCTTCTATGATTGGCACGCATTCCGCAGGCCTCGCAAGTTTATGCTGGCATCCTATTCATATTTGAAGAACTTTAAAACGTGCTGATGTTATTTGCAGCTCTAGCAAGACCGAGGTTCTGACCACGCCGCATCTTCTGTGTCACGCGCAAAGTCTAATCCTGCCGGAGGTACCCTGCAGGCTTACAGCGTCGACAATGTTGCTGGACACCACGAGTGTGAAGGAATAAGGTTTACGTCTCAGGTCACGGCGGCACCGGCAATGGAGCCAGTATTTCTTCGATACCCCATAAACGGTCCAATTCTGAGGTCCGCGCCACGCAGCTTCCCTGCGACGTTTCTTCT